TTGCACATGCAATATCAGATCGTGGCTGTTAATAGAATAAGGTGACGGAGGGTCTTGTTCCACGCCGATGGGACAAATGAAAAGAAATGACGATCAAGATGAAGACAAATGATTCGCGGTACTAGGCTCGATCTCCTAAAAGTAACAGAGACAAATCAGCAGAACGAATCGAACGTCTCGGCAGAGCGTGAGCTCACAACATGTAAAGTTCATAAACGCACCAACGACATCATTTCACTTCTTCTTTCCCCTATTATCGCGTCGATAATAAAAATTTTGATAATTAATCAATAATCAATTCCAAAATTCGTCGTTTAACGAAACGTTAAACTGGAAAATCGCAAAAACTTCCAACGGATATAATTTCGATATAATAAGATAACACATAGCGATTTTCAACGTTGAAAGATTAGAAAGATGAAGGAGATTATCTGCGATAGGGACGCGTGGTCGTGTTCACACGGAAGATCGGCTGGTATTCTCGGCGGCTGTTTGGTTAACCTACGCGGAATTGCCGATTAGCCAATTCCACCCGATGCAAATGACGCGGGATCGTACGATCGCCACTTCCGACGTATTATGTAGATGTTCACGGGGCGAACGGAAATTTCGGTATAGAAAGCGTCGCGTCTCTTCAACCCGTTTCGGCTTCGGGTATTTTGCGTTTCAAATCGCGGCCGTGATTCATTCCACGCGGGCAGAAACGCGCGCCTAGCTCGATACCAGAAACTTCGTGGAATTCTTGAATTTTTATAACGCGTCATGGTCGACGCCAACTTCCGTGAACCGATAGATCGTGGGACGTGGACGGCATTTTTCACAAATCGATCGACGATCGGGCAACGCGTTGGCACCGTTTCTTCGCCTCGCTTCTCTCGTTTCGACGCGAATAACGTATTAACGATCAGTGGTGTATGCGCGGGTAAGAAATCATCCGTTCGCTTGTTTTTTTCGCAAAATCAACCGTATTTTCATCTTTAAACCGCGTACAAGAGACTTGCATTAGACTGCAAGTTTCACGGATTCGCTTCGAGACCAGAACGCATCGTAAGGATAAGTGATACGCCGTTTGTCGAGCACGTATATGTAAGTATTGTATGAATAGTACATATACGAGATCGCGTTGATTCCATCGAGATAGGACACACACGGTGGTAAATGAAACCGCGAGTCCAGGACTGGACGAGTTCAACTGCCAATTAGATCGGACAATAACCTTTTATCAACGATGCCGAGGGTTTCGACTAAATTGCAACACTCGCGCACGATAGATAGAGCAATTGTCTAACGTTGATCGATAAAATAATTTTAAAATTATTCGAGAAAAAAATTGGAACGATAGTGAAAGAGAAACGCGTTGATGCATTTAACGCGCATTCATCGGTTAATTACGTGAAAAAATTATTAAGTTACTTTCCTGCATGTAACCGAGAAAACCACTAATTGGGCATATAACAGCACGCAACGTACACAAGAGAGTGACACGTATATATCCGTGTATGTGTGCACCAACATACTTGCTTTTCACGTACCGTTCTTTTACTCGCGGTTTAGGAGTAAAGGATTAAGACTACTTGTAAGCTTGAGAAAACTATTAATAAAATAGTCATGATAAAGAGAAGTAAAGTGAATGTAAATTAAATAAAAAAAAAAAAAAAACAAAAAAAAGATAGAACGTATTCATTAAGAATAATCTATCTAATATCATACTATTCAAATTTGATATTTTGTACTGTATCGCTTTTTTTATTATCGTTATATAAATGATATTGCCTTAATTTTTGCATAATGCATCTCTTGCATTTTATATATTTTTTCCTACTGTACCACTCTCTTTACTATCGTTGCACAAATGATAGTAGCTTAATTTTTTTATAGTGCATCTCGTGCATTTTATATATTGCTTATACGAGATGCATCGATTTAATGGAATTCTTGAATAGACGTAATATGTTCAAGAAAGATTAAAAAAAATTTAGAAACCACACAAAAAATTTAGAAACCCACAATTGATTAGTTAGACTTGTATAAACATTGTATAAACAGCGTTTTATTAAAGTTTATTTAACTATCTATTTTATAAAGTTATAACCTATAACTACGGAATAATATTAGAAGTAGATAATGCAAGGCCACTGTATAGTCAACAACGAACAATCTAAAATTACGAAGTAATATGGAAGGAAAGTCAAGACTTACCACATTGCCCGATTCCAGCGAGGAACGGTCGCTCTGCCTGTAATTTAAAAAAATTTATTCTTGTTAAATTACAATATAATATATTACGTGTAATATTACAAACTACATTAAATTAATCGCCATCTATCTATCGATGTATTGTTATAAAAAGATCATTATTCTCTAAATAAAAATTCTAAAACAATACTCGTACATATTGTATATTGTACACTGAAAATAAAACTGATCGTTTTACGAGAAACAATAGAACGAAGGCGATAAAATGAATTATAACTACTGCTTTTTTTAGACCGTAGTTCGTCACTTGAGAAACTCTATCCACATATGTCCATATTCCGTATTTCATCATTTAAGAAATAATATTCAATTAGAATTTCATCACAATGATCAATTTTCTTAATTTTATAATTTATTCTTTACTTTTTATTGTAAATTCTTTGAGAAAGTATATCTATAATTGAAGTATATGTATTTTCCATATTTTTTAACATCATGCAAAATCTATTACAATTTTATACTACTTTAAATTATATGATTTATATGATGAAAAATCGTTTTTACGTACCTTGAAATATATAACAAATCATATTATCACAAATTTCGTAAAACACTTCGATAATTATATTTAATAATTTAAGAAAACTGTTCGTCTCCACTTTTTAAATTTAACTAAGAGCACGTCATAACCACTAAAAACTTCTGATATAGTTAAGGTTTCACAAGCTGTTTCTAGAATCTACGCAAGACGCGACATCTATGATCTACAATCTATAAGATTGCATACAAAGCTTAAGCTCCTTAAGGCATATATTTTTTTAACTATCTTATTTCAATTAATTCCATGCTTAACAATTTTAAATACAATGAATCGTCAATTCAACAAATAAAAAAATTTTGAAAAATTAATCTACGTGAATTAATTAATCGTGCAAAATTGATAAAGATTTGAAATTTAAAAATATGCGATATTTTCAATAAAAATATACATCAATTTATTGTTTATTTATTGATGTTTGAATTTCGATTAGAAGCGAAAGAGTGCATACAAAAGATCTGCCTTGCTTCGAGAATGCATAAAGTTGCTTACTATTAACGTAAAGAGGAGCAACTCAAAAGCTGGTAGCACGACGACATATTTATCCAGACAGCAGACAAACATTCTCACTTAAGTATTTGACACCTGCTCACTCACTTTCATATACTTCTAAAGGACTACAAGGACTTCAAATGAAACTACATATAAAATACAATAAATGGTAAATTCTCAATGCGAATATTTTTCTTTTTATATGAATTTTTTCTTCAAACTATCTTGTTTCCATTTAACATATCGATGGAAATGGAAACGAAAACTGTAAGAAAAAATAACCATACATTATTAAAAAAAAAAATAGAATAGTAAGTAATTTAAATACAAGATAATATTATTATAAAATTTTAGAATATTATTAAGCGATATTTTAAAACAATAATGCCGATATGAAACAGATGATTTATTATTTGAAAAGTCAATTGTATAAGCACGACTCATCATTTTAATTTGATAATTAGAATTCCATTGTCGCAATGATGCATTACGATATTTGAGAGCAAGCTAACAGTGGCAGACTCACGTGAGTAGAACGAATTACGTTCATACGAATTGCGTGAACGCGACTACGCATAAATAACATCGCTGTGTGTACGCAAAGTGTACGGCGACTGTGACGACAGTGGACATAGTTGATCGCGTGAATAAACACACATAACATATACATATAGCAAGTACACTTACACATATGTATACACGTACTCTCACCTCGATACAAATCGGCAAGCAGGCAGCAGGCCGTCACAACACGACGGTCGTCGCATCCCCTCCCGCCACACTTCGATCGTCCTCTTCTCGTTCATTCATTCTTCCTCCACGCGACGCCGTTGTTTCTCTCGAGTGATGTTTGTGTCAGAAACATAAAAAGACGACACATCATAGTTACTCACTGTTCGACACTATACACTGACGTATTAACCAAATAAAGTATGATTTTCGACCAATCAAGCGCAACAAATTGAATCCAAATACGATAACATCAAAAGGTAACACGAAAACTTCGTCAGACTGACGCCATTCCTTCATCCAGACTGTTTACATCGTGTCGAGGATTGCGATATGGCGAAAGTAAATTGCATGAATGTCCCCCACACTCACGAGACTTGGTGTTATATTCGATTACTCTGAAACCGCTCTTGTTTACACCGGCGATTAAAAAGCAAAACAAAAATTGTCTTTCGCGTACTCCGTAAGATCGCGCTACTCTTCAAGTCTGATATCTCTAGGCGGCGTGACGTGAATACGGCCTATTATTCGTAAAGCCATTAATAGGAAAGCAGCAACGATAAGAAACAACCAACACCCATACGTGAAATGTCTAACATAATGAAGGAAACTATCGTAAACTGCTCGCAGAATACGTGACACGTTTTCAAGGACGTCCGCGAATGTCTCGCCGGCAACTTCGCCGCTATTACAACAGTCGAACGACATTTAACCAAGCCCCGTTAATATCTCGAACACTCTAATTACCCAAAATATAACAAACTGAAATTAATTAATAAATAGGAAACACTTACAAGAATATCACACTATAGAACGATGTGCCGCGACAACACGACTAAACGGGCTAAGCGAGTTTTCGCTTTCGACTGAAATCGAATGTCCTGCCGGCTAGCCGCTGACAAGAACCTATATAAGTTGCGTACGTGTGCGCACGCGTGCATCGTTGTGTATGTTGCGGTATACCGTACCGCGCGTTTCTACCAGCATCAAGTATCGAGTATCCGGACAAGTAAATGTAGTCCTATCGAGCTCGCATTACAAAACGCCAGTGTCGACAAGATGAGTCGAGCGATTAAATTACATATGACACGCGCGTATTGCACTCTATAATGACAGGTACATCTTTTTACCCAACCTTGATGGAGGTCACTTCGTGTCATCATTAGATGTATCATAGATGTTTTTGACCAGCAATCTTGATCCTTCTCGATTCTAATAAAAATTCGCAATTTCGTCTTCTCAACATAGTTTTACATGAATATCCATTTTTTTAAAATCATTGTACATCCTTAAATAAAATCTCTGAATCATTATCTTCATTTATATCTTATTGAGAATTGTTCAACATCATTTTATTGCAATTAAGAATTTTAATTAAAATTATCATTTAAGATATATGGGAATAATGGAATGCTACTCCACCACTGACTGTGAAAGTTGTATTAATTACAGCCTCTTAATGTGTCGACATTTTTTCGCTCCGACTTTTATATCTTTTTGGGCGGGGAACGAGAAACCATCGTTCTACAGGAAAATAATTACATATTCCTTATTGTGGATTAAACTTCTATAATTGCATTCAATTATATAAAAAATATAAATTAAAAATGAATATAAATGAAATTATTTATTGAATTATTATTTGTATTATTTACATATACTTATTTTATAATGATAAAATCTAAAGAAAAATTTTTTTAAATAAATAAAAAGTTTGCATTACAAAATGAACTGTTTCTGCATTTTGATGAAGAATTATGTTATTTTTTTTCTTCATTCAAATTATATTTTGTTTTTAACTTATCTATTTCTTCCATTTTCTTATCTACATCAACTCGTTTAAATGCTTTATTACTTTGATAATATAAAACTACTAAATATCTATTACAAACATTAAATCCACTTAAATGATCACAAGCATTCTTTGCATCAAATATATCTTCGTAAACAACAAATGCTGTTCCCCTAGTTTCAGCAGTATTGCCCCTGCAATAAATAATTTATCAATATCAAGAAATTATATGATATTAATTTTATATAAAATATATATAAAATATTATGAAATTTAATATAATATTAAGAAAGCAATTTAAAATAAAAAATACATAAAAAAATAAAATTCAATTGACACGAATACTTACACTCTAATTTGTCTAATAGCTCCATATTTGCCAAAAATATCATACATTTCTTCGGCAGTAATTTTGTATGGCAAATTTCTTATATACAACACTCTGTTTACTTCTGGAGGTAACCTTACCTAAAGAATAAAAATATATTCTTATAAAATAACAAAAAAAATATAGGTTAGGTTATTAAAATTATATATCAAATACATATAAATATATGTACTTACGTTAGCTCTTCGTTGAAGCATAGCCATAGTCATCTTGAAAACAAATATTTTTTTATTTATTACGAGAAATAAGAACAAAGAACGCGCAAAATACGTCAAAACAGATTCAAGTAGTTTAGATCGTATTGCATACAGTATATACTACTAGAGAGCAGCACTGTACTTTTCCGTTCTACTTCAGGTTTTTCATTCTTAAAAAAAAAAAAAAATTAAAAAGAAATAATAAAATAAATTATGTTGATTATTTTTACTTTTTATTTATTAACAATACTCCAAAACAAACAATTAAAAATGGTGCTAATAGGTATTATATACCTATAATATTATTAATGAATAGCATTATGATAGCAAATGAAATATCTATATGATGTTACATTAAATTTTATACATTGAATTACGTTTAAAACATTTACATTTTTTCTTTATAAAGAATATATTGATCATACAACCACAATTTAAAAATTTGCTTGAATATTTTAGAAACGATTGATAAATTGACATCGAATATTAAAATTGGAGTACAATAGCTATGTTTTTTATTTTTAGACAGTCCTCTTTAGTGATAAAACATGTATTTATCAAAGTAGATATTGCTAATGGAATGAAATGATGGCACAACAGACCAATGCCTGGTTGCAATTAGAACCGTCAGATATTTTTCTACGAAGAAAGCTTCGTTAATATTTTATACTTTATTAAAGGCTGCAATATCTACGCTTTGTACATAATCTTCGATATCCTGAATCTGTTCTGTAAGCCAATCTACAGAAACTTTGTCATCTTCAACAACACACGAAATTTGAAGTTTGTGAATTCCAAAGGCAAGCGGAACAAGTTTTGCTATGAAAGAATAACAATATAATAGAATAAATCTTATTTTAAATTTAATTAAAAAAGATATTATTTATTATATATTTATTCTAGATAACTTACACGCTCCCCATAAAAGTCCATCAGTTTCAATCTTTCGAACTTCTTCTTCCATGGCTTTCATATCCGTTTCATCGTCCCACGGTTTTACGTCCAATATTATATTTGATTTAGCAATTAAGGCTGGCTCTATAAATTATAATTACATATAAAACAATTTGTATTTGAAATACAAATACAATACACGACTTACTTTTAGCTTTCTTTGCAGCATATGCAGCCAGTCTTTCTTCTCTAAGTTTTGCAGCTTCTGCATCTTCTCCCTAATAAGTCAAGTATTTAAACAATTTACAGTATAGATTATAAATTACAACATTTACATTTCAATATTTGTATTATAGTATTTGTGTTGATTTTGTGTAATAAATAGAAAACTATTTAAATGTATTAGTATTCTGGGAATATCTGGTGTACTATATTTCGTAAATGTCGTATCATTTTATCACTTTTGCACTTGAAGACACGTGTAAAGTGTACTAAATGTATAAGTATCGTGCAGAAATGATTTTCGATATTTTTAGAAGAGGATTAACTGCTTAGTGTCTTCCATTATTTCTGCCCACTTGCCTCTGAATCTGAACCAAAAAGATCAACATCTTCATCATCATCAGCTTTTTCTTGTGTTGGTTTTGAAGCTGGTTGAGGTTTAGCAGGACAAACTGTTATTGGATCAGCAGGTATAAAAGTACGAATCTTGATTTCAAGAGCTTTGACACGTTCCTCCAATTTTTCAACAGTATTTTTCAATTCTTGGAAGACTGTTAATGAAGATTTAAAATATGGAAATCTATATTATTGATAAAATAATTTAGCATAATAATTTATAATACTGACCACTAGAATCTAGAATATCCTTTTTATTTTCATTGGGAGTAGCAAAACCAGCAACAGCTGCAATATCATCCATCTGAAAAATAAAATTTGAATGCATTTAAAATAAATTAAAATAAAAAAACTATCAATTATTATTAAAAAATTAATTTTATATCCATTAATTTATATTAATATTGGATATCATATTAGTAAGCAGATTTTTGAAAATTTGTTATATAAGGGTGTGCAAAGAGTGCAGTACTCACACACTGTAAAGACTGTTTAATATGTTGACGAGCCTTGGCAACCTCATTGGCTAAACTTCCACCAGCAGATAAAATGGGACTAGTAGTTTGTTGATTTCCCTGTATCCAGTAATATTAAAAATCAACTCAGACTAAATTGATTATAAACAGTTCAATATCATACCTCCACTAGAATTTATAAATAATTATTCAAAGCATACAATTATAAATTTTTATTTTTAATTCTTTATGAATTTACTTTTGAAATTATATAAAATCTAGAATACAAACAAAACAAATATTGAAAATATGACATCATTTGTATTAAGAAAATATTTTATAAATATTTAAATATAAATTTATGTATATTTTTTAAGAAAAAGTGGAGATAGATATTTTGAATGTTTAAAAAGTGAATAAATTTTAAGCATAATGAATATGTTAATTACAAAATAAAAGATTAAATAAAATATTTATCAACAGCATATTGTTAATAAATTTAACAATAAAATTTATTTAAAATCAGAAGCAAACATGCTTTACAACACAATCCCCTTTGTCACATAACAAAAAAACAAGCAAAATATTAAATTAAAACAAAATTAAAATAAAATAAATATATACAATATTTTTGTGGTGTTCACTCAACAATTACTAAATTTAAAAAATTTATGAGAGGTAATAGCAATATAAATTTAAAACTTATGAAATAAAAAGTTTATAAAAAAGAATAAAATGATTTCATCTTTCTTTTTTTTTTAAATTATTGTAATAAGCAGATTCTCAATGATGATTTAAACAATATGAAATGTATATTATAATGAATGAAATTAAATTCTATAAGTATTGCATTGTTGCACACAAAACATTAAAATAATAAATGCATTACAGTATATACCTGAATAGGTAACTGCTGCTTATTCCTTATTAATGGAGTAACATTTTCTTTTACTTCCTTAGTATCATTTTTATGTTTTCTACTTCTATGTCTTGTATCTGCTTTATTTTTTTTTTCTTTTACTTCTTTTGTATTATATTTTTTAGATGCATCATTAGAAGGACTAGTTTCTTTCTCTTTTAAATCATTTTTGACATTATCAGATTTTTGCTTTTCTTCTATATTTTCTTTTTCTTGTATATTTAATTCATCTTCATCTTTATTTATCTTTGATGTTTTTATTTGACACTTAGAATTTTTTACATCATTTGAAATATTCTCAGAGATCAATAACTTATTGTCTTTAGATTTTTCAGATTTAGTTTTAATCAAAGAATTATTATTCAAAAATGAATTATCATGACAACTATTAGTTAGAGCAACTTCAGATTTAAGCGAGCAGCTTTCCATGATTTTATGAGACACCACCTTGAAACATCAAGCTATGCAAGTAAGAACTTATGTCTTGTAATTAATTGAGTAAAACAGAAAATAAACAAAACATGTCTTTTACATGCTTCATTTATATTGTGGCTACAAGACACAACTGCACAAAAACTAAATATCTTGAATAAAGAATCCATGCATTCTTAAATTTATTAAATATATGAAAATATAGAACAATACATTGTAAAATTATAAGTGTAAACAAATAAATAAAAAAATTATATTGTTTATTTTATTTTTTCATTTTAAATATTATCGATTATATTTATTAGAAAAGTTTTATGTTAAAAATGAAATACAAGATTAGATAATTCACTTGAACACACAACTAGAAATGGGAATTAAGATCTTAAAAAAAAAAAAAAAGTAAAATTCCAACACCTCATAGAATTACAAGCAGATCAAATCTTTCCTATCACCAGATATTCCCTGAAGTGTGTGTTAAAAATGTTAGTTTTTTTGTTAGTACAAAGAAAAAACACAAGGCATAACAAAAAGACAATTAGCTGTGGATGTTGGGGCTGATAATAATAGATTCTTAAAAAAATTTATGTTTATAAACATACTTTTAAACATTATTATTTATAAAAGATTATTTTAATATTATAATATTAAAAACAAATGAAACTCAAGATTCATTTTATTTCCTAATTTGTATGTTTAGAAACATTTATGTTATTTCTGTAGGCAATTTTATATCCAATAACATTAAGAAAGATACTTACCTTGGCCATTCTTTCAAAATATAGTCGTTCTGCCTTGTCATAGGATGGTTTGTCAAACCATACCTTCTCTTGTGCTAATGCTGATTTCTCCATTATTTATGGCTTAGATGATATATTCAACAACAAAGATGTAAGTAAATATCTGCAACATGAAATTTTTTAATTTCAGAATATTTTAAAATAATCTCATTAATAAAATACATTAATACAAATAATATATTAAAATTTATGATTTAATATTATTCTTATTTATTAAATATTATTCTTTATTTATTTTATTAATTTATTAATTTTAAACCTATTTATAATTTAGAATCATTAGAACATATGGAAAATAAAAATATTAAAAAAATTAATTAATCATATTTATTAAAAATACAATCTTTTTGTCATATATATACACTATATAATAAAAAGATATATATTATAATAATGTACATTATAATAAAAATTATTATGTAACAAGATATATTAACAACATCAACAACTTAATATATAGTTAAAAGTATAAATTAATATCATAAACTATCATCATCACTACTAAAATATTTAGATTTAAATTTAGCTTTATTTAATATCTTATGCCTAGGAAGATCTAATTTATATTTCTGACTACTTGATGATTGTTGATCTAATTTTCTTTTTACAATATCTAACAAACAATAAATTTGTTGTTCTTCTTCTGTTTTCATTACACATGGATATATTTCCAATGCTTCAAAATATTGAACAAATGCTTTAAGTTCATTAAAAGAGGAATGAGTAGAATAACATACATTAAAAGTTCTCTCTTTAACTTTGTCCCATTCCCCTATTATAGCTGTATCTTTTTTTCTCCATTTCATTGCAGATGGGATAACAGTCAAGATATTCATATTGCTTACATCACTTCTACAATGCAAACCTGACACAGATATTTTTTTCTTGCAAGCATGAATTGAAGTACTATATGGATCATTTGTGACATAACAAGATAATTGTGCAATACAACAATAAGTTTCAAATACATCATTTCTTATATGAATTTTCATATTTAACATCTTAGATAATTCTACAAAAAGAAATTCAGAACCATATGTAGCAGAGCATTCCAGAATAACAACATTCCTTGGGTCTTTGCTTATCCAATTTTTAATGACTTCATACATTTTAAATATACTTTCTTGTCTCGTAGGGAAACTAGAAAAGTCGGTACTTAAAAATGTTGTATCTAAATAAATTTTAGTAAATGATTTAGGTATCAATTTAGAATCAATGTAATAATGTAAACTTTTCAATTTGGGAAAATCTAAAGGATTAATACGAAAATCACCAGTATATAATATTAATATATTATTTTTTTCAAAAAGAAACATCACAGAACCAGGACAATGTCCTGCTGGAACACAAGTTACACAAATAAGAATTTTATCTTCATTTTTTATTGAATATTCTATAACAGTAGGAGAATTAATATCTATTTCTTTCACACAAGATGTTTTAAATTTAAATCTATTTTCCAACATTATTTTTGTAATAGGGCTACAATAGAGATATTTGTTATATTCATCTATATGCTCAAAAAATATATCTGATAAACCATGCATATGATCATAATGACAATGACTAAGAAAAAATATAGAAGATGTTAAGTTTGCTCCATCAAAACGATCCACTGAGATGCCAGGTATTTCCTTAATAAGCCCAAGAAAAGTTGACATTCTGATAGGTATTTTGTTCCTGTAATTTATAAATTCAATATCAACTATGCCAATATTTATTTTAAAAAATTATATTATACTATACTATACTACTATAATAATATTTTTTTTCATGTGTGAATATCACAAAAAGAAAATAAACAAATTAAATATTTTTATGTATCTTTAATCTCAAATATAAGAATTTGAAGAAAGAACAAAGAAAATGATAAAAATAAAATTTGATGAAAAGTTATCATAAGAAAGAAACAGATGTTTGCAAAATTGAAGGATGAAGATTTTCATAGTAGGTTATAATTATATTGAACATATATTCTACGAATGAAAGAAACAGATTAGAAGAAATTATTTACAAACCAATAAACTAACAATTTTAACAACTGTATACGAACAATCAGTAAACTTTTCACTGAAACATTATTAACACGAATCCGCCATGTGCCGTATTGATCGATTAATTCAACGGTTATACATATAGCGTATAATTAATACGACGTAAGCGAATACTACAAATTAGGTTGATGTGCATGTTGATTATATATTGCTTAAATATTATTAAATATACCTTGACTCGTTACAGATTGTCAGATTGATGCAACAACTATCTACTCGCCAAAATTTCTGTAAGCCGGATATAATATGCCAATTGAAAAGAAATAGAAATAGTAATGTTCGATTAATGAAAGATGTCACTAGGATACCTTATTTCTACCGCTGAATTCAACACACGTTTATTTTTTTAAAACGTTTTAAGCAGAATTTTTTAATTTTACTAATAATTTGTAAAATAAAAATTATTTAATCTTTTTATTCATTTTTATATTCATTATTAAAATAAAAATAGATAATAAGAATAGATATAAGAAAAGTTCTGATGTATTAATTTTTTAATAATATAATTATTTTGTATTGTTATATATTTTTAAAATTTAATTAGATATATGTAATATTAAAAATAGAATTTAAATATTTGCAATTTTATCTCAAACTTCTTGACGAATAATTATGTAAAGAATTCAAAAATTGGTGGCAATTGGTTAACGGTTAATGGTTATTATCTGTTAGTTTACATTTCATACTTAAGGTAAATTAATTTTTAGTAAGAATGACTGCACAAGGATCACCTGCTAAAATGAAGGAATTACGTTTACCTATATCAAGGGTGAAAACAATTATGAAAAGTTCTCCTTACGTCGATACAATCGGTCAAGATGGATTATATTTAGTCACAAAAGCTACGGTAAGATTGATTTTTAAATATTGAGGTTAAGTGATGCTTAAATATAATTTGTATATTTGTAATTACTAAATTTATTTCATATATTAATTAAAAATTCTTGCTTTCTATGCATTTCATATTTAAAATATTTACTAACCAATTGTTTAATATGTGTTCTATTCAAATATATACATTTTGCTAAGTGATTATTACAATTATTTTGCAAGATAAATATGAACAAACAAAGATGAAAACAATTTTATAGGAACTATTTATACATTATCTAACGGAAGAGGCACATTTGCAAAGCAACAAAGGAAATTTTTTAGACTACAAACATCTAGCAGAAGTGGTACAAACAAATGATACATTGGAATTTCTCAGGGAAATAATGCCCAGAAAGATAACAGTGAGACAATTCAAAGAAATGATGGCTGCCAAGAATTCACATAGCAGTTCATCAGAAAATAGTTCAGACTCTGACAGTGATAGTGAATCAGACACAGATTCTTGTTCTGATAGTGATGGTAGAAAAGCAGATGATAACTCGTCAAATAGTGAACAAGAAAGTATAGAGAAAGAAAATGGAAAATGTGATTCCATTAGTGACAAAAGTGAAGCAAGTGAAAAAAGTGACAGTGAGGATGAAACTAAGAGATAAAAAAAAACAATATTTTATTTAATATTTTCATAAGACAGGCTCTCTGATTATTTAAGAAATATTTCAAATACAATTAAAAATAATATATCTTTGCAAATATTTGATTCTTACCATTTGAAACTATTTAATATTTTAGATTAAATACAGACAATAATTTTAAATGTTTAACATTATTTTTATATGTATTCATTAAAGATAAATTGAATACCTAGATAAATTGAATCCTAGATAAGACATTTTTATTCACAATAAAACATATTTATAATTTATAGATACATTATTTAAAAAAAATTATAAGCATAAAGTAAAGAATTTATTTATTTTTGCAAATGCATTAATTTAAGAAGCACCATATTATTTTAGTTGGTTTATAATATGAAATAAATGTATTAATTTTTTTACTGTTTATTTTTTAAATTGCATCACTCTATTGTTTATATCATCTTATATTGGCACATAATAATTCTATGTTTTATTTCTTTAGAAGTTAACAAAAAGATATTAATTTTAAAAGAACATATTTTAATAACAATGCTTTATAAAATTTTATTCTTGATGCAATTTTTTAGGTGCCGATCCTGTTGAAATAGTATCATATACATCCTCATTTAATTTAATTGCTAAGAATAAATTTCAGCCAAAGCTATGATCAGAGCACAAATTATACCTAATAACAACCTAAATCCAAAATCTAAATTTCCTACTATTAACTCTACACCTATAAATCCAAAAGCAAAACCTGCTAGCACAGAAAATACAAATTGTGCAACAGCTATAAGTTGCTTATTTATCTGCTTCACTGAAAAAAAAAAAAAAATATATATATATATATATATATATATATATAGTAAGTAATAATAATAA